CAACTAGCCTAGGCAACTAGCCAAGTGGTAAACTAGCCAGCAGCCAACTAGCCAGCCTGGCAGCCAACTAGCCTGGCAGGCAGCCAACTAGCCAACTAGCAGCCAACTAGCCTGGCAGCCAACTAGCCTGGCAGCCAACTAGCAGCCAACTAGCTAGGCAGCCAACTAGCCAAACTAGCCAAGCAGCCAACTAGCCAAGCAGCCAACTAGCCAAGCAGCCAACTAGCCTGGCAGCCAACTAGCCAGGCAGCCAACTAGCCAGGCAGCCAACTAGCCAAGCAGCCAACTAGCCAAGCAGCCAACTAGCCAAGCAGCCAACTAGCCTGGCAGCCAACTAGCCTGGCAGCCAACTAGCCAGGCAGCCAACTAGCCAAGCAGCCAACTAGCCAAGCAGCCAACTAGCCACGCAGCCAACTAGCCTGGCAGCCAACTAGCCTGGCAGCCAACTAGCCAGGCAGCCAACTAGCCAAGCAGCCAACTAGCCAAGCAGCCAACTAGCCAAGCAGCTAACTAGCCAAGCAGCCAACTAGCCTGGCAGCCAACTAGCCTGGCAGCCAACTAGCCAGGCAGCCAACTAGCCTGGCAGCCAACTAGCCTGGCAGCCAACTAGCCTGGCAGCCAACTAGCCTGGCAGCCAACTAGCCTGGCAGCCAACTAGCCTGGCAGCCAACTAGCCTGGCAGCCAACTAGCCAAGCAGCCAACTAGCCAGGCAGCCAACTAGCCTGGCAGCCAACTAGCCAGGCAGCCAACTAGCCAGGCAGCCAAACTAGCCAGGCAGCCAACTAGCCTGGCAGCCAACTAGCCTGGCAGCCAACTAGCCAGCCAACTAGCCTGGCAGCCTACTAGCCTGGCAGCCAACTAGCCAGGCAGCCAACTAGCCTGGCAGCCAACTAGCTAGGCAGCCAACTAGCCTGGCAGCCAACTAGGCAGCCAACTAGCCAGCCAACTAGCCAAGCAGCCAACTAGCTAGGCAGCCAACTAGCCTGGCAGCCAACTAGCCAAGCAGCCAACTAGCTAGGCAGCCAACTAGCCTGGCAGCCAAATAGCTAGGCAGCCAACTAGCCTGGCAGCCAACTAGCCAAGCAGCCAACTAGCCAAGCAGCCAACTAGCCAGGCAGCCAACTAGCCTGGCAGCCAACTAGCCAAGCAGCCAACTAGCCTGGCAGCCAACTAGCCTGGCAGCCAACTAGCCAAGCAGCCAACTAGCCAAGCAGCCAACTAGCCAGGCAGCCAACTAGCCTGGCAGCCAACTAGCCAAGCAGCCAGGCAGCCAACTAGCCTGGCAGCCAACTAGCTAGGCAGCCAACTAGCCTGGCAGCCAACTAGCCAAGCAGCCAACTAGCCAAGCAGCCAACTAGCCAGGCAGCCAACTAGCCTGGCAGCCAACTAGCCAAGCAGCCAACTAGCCTGGCAGCCAACTAGCCTGGCAGCCAACTAGCCAAGCAGCCAACTAGCCTGGCAGCCAACTAGCCTGGCAGCCAACTAGCCTGGCAGCCAACTAGCCTGGCTGCCAACTAGCCAAGCAGCCAACTAGCCTGGCAGCCAACTAGCCTGGCAGCCAACTGGCCTGGCAGCCAACTAGCCTGGCAACCAACTAGCCTGGCAGCCAACTAGCCTGGCAGCCAACTAGCCAAGCAGCCAACTAGCCTGGCAGCCAACTAGCCAGGCAGCCAACTAGCCTGGCAGCCAACTAGCCAAGCAGCCAACTAGCCAGGCAGCCAACTAGCCAAGCAGCCAACTAGCCTGGCAGCCAACTAGCCAAGCAGCCAACTAGCCAGGCAGCCAACTAGCCTGGCAGCCAACTAGCCAAGCAGCCAACTAGCCAGGCAGCCAACTAGCCTGGCAGCCAACTAGCCTGGCAGCCAACTAGCCTGGCAGCCAACTAGCCAAGCAGCCAACTAGCCAGGCAGCCAACTAGCCTGGCAGCCAACTAGCCAAGCAGCCAACTAGCCTGGCAGGCAACTAGCCAGGCAGCCAACTAGCCAAGCAGCCAACTAGCCTGGCAGCCAACTAGCCAGGCAGCCAACTAGCCTGGCAGCCAACTAGCCAAGCAGCCAACTAGCCTGGCAGGCAACTAGCCAGGCAGGCAACTAGCCAGGCAGCCAACTAGCCAAGCAGCCAACTAGCCAGGCAGCCAACTAGCCTGGCAGCCAACTAGCCAGGCAGCCAACTAGCCTGGCAGCCAACTAGCCAAGCAGCCAACTAGCCAGGCAACCAACTAGCCTGGCAGCCAACTAGCCAAGCAGCCAACTAGCCTGGCAGGCAACTAGCCAGGCAGCCAACTAGCCTGGCAGCCAACTAGCCTGGCAGCCAACTAGCCAGGCAGCCAACTAGCCAAGTAGTAAACTAGCCAGGCAGCCAACTAGCCTGGCAGCCAACTAGCCTGGCAGCCAACTAGCCAGGCAGTCAACTAGCTAGGCAGCCAACTAGCCTGGCAGCCAACTAGCCAAGCAGCCAACTAGCCAGGCAGCCAACTAGCCTGGCAGACAACTAGCCAAGTAGTAAACTAGCCAAGCAGCCAACTAGCCTGGCAGCCAACTAGCCTGGCAGGCAACTATCCTGGCAGCCAACTAGCCTGGCAGGCAACTAGCCAAGTAGTAAACTAGCCAAGCAGCCAACTAGCCTGGCAGCCAACTAGCCTGGCAGCCAACTAGCCAAGCAGCCAACTAGCCAGGCAGCCAACTAGCCTGGTAGGCAACTAGCCAAGTGGTAAACTAGCCAAGCAGCCAACTAGCCTGGCAGCCAACTAGCCTGGCAGCCAACTAGCCTGGCAGGCAACTAGCCAAGTAGTAAACTAGCCAAGCAGCCAACTAGCCTGGCAGCCAACTAGCCTGGCAGCCAACTAGCCTGGCAGCCAACTAGCCAAGCAGCCAACTAGCTAGGCAGCCAACTAGCCTGGCAGCCAACTAGCCAAGCAGCCAACTAGCCAGGCAGCCAACTAGCCTGGCAGGCAACTAGCCAGGCAGCCAACTAGCCTGGCAGCCAACTAGCTAGGCAGCCAACTAGCCTGGCAGCCAACTAGCCAAGCAGCCAACTAGCCAGGCAGCCAACTAGCCTGGCAGGCAACTAGCCAGGCAGCCAACTAGCCAGGCAGCCAACTAGCCAAGCAGCCAACTAGCCAAGCAGCCAACTAGCCTGGCAGCCAACTAGCCTGGCAGCCAACTAGCCAGGCAGCCAACTAGCCAAGCAGCCAACTAGCCAAGCAGCCAACTAGCCAAGCAGCCAACTAGCCTGGCAGCCAAGTAGCCTGGCAGCCAACTAGCCAGGCAGCCAACTAGCCAAGCAGCCAACTAGCCAAGCAGCCAACTAGCCAAGCAGCCAACTAGCCTGGCAGCCAACTAGCCTGGCAGCCAACTAGCCAGGCAGCCAACTAGCCAAGCAGCCAACTAGCCAAGCAGCCAACTAGCCTGGCAGCCAACTAGCCTGGCAGCCAACTAGCCAGGCAGCCAACTAGCCTGGCAGCCAACTAGCCTGGCAGCCAACTAGCCTGGCAGCCAACTAGCCAAGCAGCCAACTAGCCTGGCAGCCAACTAGCCAAGCAGCCAACTAGCCAGGCAGCCAACTAGCCTGGCAGCCAACTAGCCAGGCAGCCAACTAGCCAGGCAGCCAACTAGCCAGGCAGCCAACTAGCCTGGCAGCCAACTAGCCTGGCAGCCAACTAGCCAGGCAGCCTACTAGCCTGGCAGCCAACTAGCCAGGCAGCCAACTAGCCTGGCAGCCAACTAGCTAGGCAGCCAACTAGCCTGGCAGCCAACTAGCTAGGCAGCCAACTAGCCTGGCAGCCAACTAGCCAAGCAGCCAACTAGCCAGGCAGCCAACTAGCCTGGCAGCCAACTAGCTAGGCAGCCAACTAGCCTGGCAGCCAACTAGCCAAGCAGCCAACTAGCCAGGCAGCCAACTAGCCTGGCAGGCAACTAGCCAAGCAGCCAACTAACCAAGCAGCCAACTAGCCAGGCAGCCAACTAACCAAGCAGCCAACTAGCTAGGCAGCCAACTAGCCTGGCAGCCAACTAGCCAAGCAGCCAACTAGCCAGGCAGCCAACTAGCCTGGCAGGCAACTAGCCAAGCAGCCAACTAACCAAGCTGCCAACTAGCCAGGCAGCCAACTAACCAAGCAGCCAACTAGCCGGCTAGTAGTTTCTACATCTTGTGATTCGTGAAAGATCTGATGAAAGAGAGCTCCTAGGGACTCGAGACCAGATCTTACGATTTCTGAAGATCTTACGATATCTTAAACCACATCGATCCCCATGGGTTCTCGAATCTCAGTTGCCTTACGAGGTTCGAACCTCGTAAGAACCACGACGATTAGATACGAACCACGAACCGAGATACGACCCGGGATCACACGAACAAACAGGTTGAAAAGCGGAGGATTCGAATGTTATCGAGACACGAACCACACGGGTTTCGAACCATCGTTTAAACTGCAAGTTGTTGTTGTTGTTTCAGATTTAGCTACTCAGAACGAAGTGTCCATGTAGCACGGGCTATGGCGAGCCCGTAATGTTCAAACTGCAATCGCCCCCTGAATTCATAATCCTTTCAATCTGGTGAAATAAAAAAAAACTTTATATTATTATATATTTAAGCTTTGCACATAGGTTAATGGTTGGTTAGGTTAGGGTGTTTGATTTTTAGTATTTATGCCTATTTACAGAAGGAGGGCGAAGCATTTAAGAGAAATTACACTTCGAAAAAAGGAACTGAATAACGCAATTTAGGAGAAAATATGAAATCAGTTGACAGCCAATTAGCTAATATTTTGAGGACGAGGGATATTGGAGGGTGAGAACAAAATCTTAAACCGAAGAGTTCCCACTTCGAAGCTTGATTCGAATATTCGAAAAAATATTCGAACTGAAACAGCTTCGAGGCCTGTGACCTCTGACCTCAAGGAGGAGGAGGAGGAGGAGGAGTACATGGGCTGCTGCTCCCGTAGCGCCGGCAGAGTCGTTCAGGGTATATGAATTGCCTCATTAATGCCGCTACGGAACCTTCAGGATAGTTGGAGGCAGCGGCTCCGAGGAGAAGACATCTTTATTGGACTCTTCGGCCGCTGACGACCGCCCTCGGGAGCGTGAAGAGCCAGAATCTTAGTCTTCAACGTGTGCATAGCTTGCAGAGGTTGATCTTTGGGGTTGGGGTGAGAGATTTGAGGTTGATCTTCGGGGTTGGGGTGAGAGATTTGAGGTTGATCTTCGGGGTTGGGTGAGAGATTTGAGGTTGATCTTCGAGGTTGGGGTGAGAGATTTGAGGTTGATCTTCCAGGTTGGGTGAGAGATTTGAGGTTGATCTTCGGGGTTGGGGTGAGAGATCTGAGGTTGATCTTCGCGGTTGGGGTGAGAGATTTGAGGTTGATCTTCGGGGTTGGGGTGAGAGATTTGAGGTTGATCTTCGGGGTTGGGTGAGAGATTTGAGGTTGATCTTCGAGGTTGGGGTGAGAGATTTGAGGTTGATCTTCGAGGTTGGGGTGAGAGATTTGAGGATGATCTTCGCGGTTGGGGTGAGAGATTTGAGGTTGATCTTCGGGGTTGGGTGAGAGATTTGAGGTTGATCTTCGGGGTTGGGTGAGAGATTTGAGGTTGATCTTCGAGGTTGGGTGAGAGATCTGAGGTTGATCTTCAAGGTTGGGTGACAGATTTGAGGTATATATACACAAGTATATATGTAAATAGCATAGAGGGGGCCCCTCCACACCTCCCGCTCAAGCGACCGTTTGAGTGTCTACAACACCGCTCCTTCAGTCCCAAACACCGCTCGTTTGGGCCGGTAACACACACACACACACACACACACACACACACACACACACACACACACACACACATACACACACCACAACACACACACACAAAATCTTGCCTTACAGGCTTGATAGAATTCTACGATCAGGTGACAAAGATTAAGCAAGAAAGAGAGGGCTGGGCGGACTGCATTTTCTTGGATTGTCGGAAAGCCTTTGACACAGTACCGCATAAGAGGCTGGTACATAAGCTGGGGAGACAGGCAGGTGTAGCTGGTAAGGTGCTCCAGTGGATAAGGGAGTATCTAAGCAATAGGAAGCAGAGAGTTACGGTGAGGGGTGAGACCTCCGATTGGCGTGAAGTCACCAGTGGAGTCCCACAGGGCTCTGTACTCGGTCCTATCTTGTTTCTGATATATGTAAATGATCTCCCGGAGGGTATCGATTCATTTCTCTCAATGTTTGCGGACGATGCTAAAATTATGAGAAGGATTAAAACAGAAGAGGACTGTTTGAGGCTTCAAGAAGACCTAGACAAGCTGAAGGAATGGTCGAACAAATGGTTGTTAGAGTTTAACCCAACCAAATGTAATGTAATGAAGATAGGTGTAGGGAGCAGGAGGCCAGATACAAGGTATCATCTGGGAGAGGAAATTCTTCAGGAGTCAGAGAAGGAAAAAGACTTGGGGGTTGATATCACGCCAGACCTGTCTCCTGCAGCACATATCAAGCGGATAACATCAGCGGCATATGCCAGGCTGGCCAACATACGAACGGCATTCAGAAACTTGTGTAAAGAATCATTCAGAACTTTGTATACCACATATGTCAGGCCAATCCTGGAATATGCAGCCCCAGCATGGAGTCCATATCTAGTCAAGGATAAGACTAAACTGGAAAAGGTTCAAAGGTTTGCCACCAGACTAGTACCCGAGCTGAGAGGTATGAGCTACGAGGAGAGACTACGGGAATTAAACCTCACTTCGCTGGAAGACAGAAGAGTTAGGGGGGACATGATCACCACATTCAAGATTCTGAAGGGGATTGATAGGGTAGATAAAGACAGTCTATTTAACACAAGGGGAACACGCACAAGGGGACACAGGTGGAAACTGAGTGCCCAAATGAGCCACAGAGATATTAGCAAGAACTTTTTTAGTGTCAGAGTGGTTGACAAATGGAATGCATTAGGAAGTGATGTGGTGGAGGCTGACTCCATACACAGTTTCAAGTGTAGATATGACAGAGCCCGATAGGCTCATGAATCTGTACACCTGTTGATTGACGGTTGAGAGGCGGGACCAAAGAGCCAGAGCTCAACCCCCGCAAACACAACTAGGTGAGTACAACTAGGTGAGTACACACACACACACACACACACACACACACACACACACACACACACACTTTTGTTTAGTTTTCCCACTAAAGTGGAATCAGGGCAATAAGCTTTAATCCTTTCAAAAGGATATTGTCGACGTTCCAGAGATTAAATATATTGGATCATTTGGAGGCTCCACAGCTGGGGGGGGGGGAGGGACATGATGAACGACGAGCACTGATAATGAATAATGATAATGAACTGTCACACCATAAATGGAACTATTTATACCATTCACTGAAACCAGCAAGAAATCCATTCACACAGGATTTGTGGCGTCCAGTGTAACGGGTCCTTGCTACACTTCACGGTTGAGAGAGGCGGGACCAAAGAGCTAGAGCTCAACCCCCCCGCAAGCACAACTAGGTGAGTACTTCAGTATGTTGTTAATATCCACAGGTCTGGCAGAGGTCTGGTCGAATCACGTGACCCCTTTGACTTACGCTAAGCTGAGAATTGTAGACTGTTCCATCAGACAAGCCGCTGTCTAGGTGTGGCAGGCCAGAGGCTGCTTGGTAGGTGATGGGAAGGGAGGGGTTTTAGCTCCTGGTCCCTCCCTCACCACACTGACGATAGCCTCTATAGGTCAGGGGCTAGATTCACGAAAGCAGTTACGCAAGCACTTACGAAGGTGTACATCTTTCCTCAAACTTTGACGGCTTTGGTTACATTTATTAAACAGTTTACCAGCATGAAAACTTGCCAATCAACTGTTGTTATTGTTATAAACAGCCTCCTGGTGCTTCGGAGCTCATTAACTGTTTAATAATTGTAAACAAAGCCGCCAAATATTGAGAAAAGATGTACAGCTTCGTAAGTGCTTGCGTAACTGCTTCGTGAATCTTACCCCCAGGTCTGTACTATAGGCCTCTCTTAACCTATAAGAGGCCTTGACTCACTCTCGCAAGATAATCTTACATCACACACCAATAGTCTTCCATCAACTCCAATATATAATAATAAACGAATAATTATCTTTTTAAAACTCGTTATTTATCTTTTAATTTGATCCTTGAATCATTTCTTGACTTGCGGATTCAAGGATCATTCCTTGAATCATTTCTTGACTTGCGGATTCAAAGATCATTCCTTGAATCATTTCTTGACTTGCGCTCAAGTGCAAGCTAGAGGAGGGAAGAACTCGCAAGATTACTTACTAACGATTCAGACTTGACAATTAATAATATGTTTTATATGAAGGAAGTTTCTTAGATGTTAACGGTGATTACAGAGTCAAGTTTCCTTCCTTGTCTGGTAAACTCCTGAATGGTGGCAGCCCCTTCTGTCTCAGAATGGATGGTTGACAGCCCCTTCTGTCTCAGAATGGATGGTTGGCAACCCCTTCTGTCTCAGAATGGATGGTTGGCAGCCCGTTCTGTCTCAGAATGGATGGTTGGCAGCCCCTTCTGTCTCAGAATGGATGGTTGGCAGCCCCTTCTGTCTCAGAATGGATGGTTGGCAGCCTCTTCTGTCTCAGAATGGATGGTTGGCAGCCCCTTCTGTCTCAGAATGGATGGTTGGCAGCCCCTTCTGTCTCAGAATGGATGGTTGGCAGCCTCTTCTGTCTCAGAATGGATGGTTGGCAACCCCTTCTGTCTCAGAATGGATGGTTGGCAACCTCTTCTGTCTCAGAATGGATGGTTGGCAGCCCCTTCTGTCTCAGAATGGATGGTTGGCAACCCCTTCTGTCTCAGAATGGATGGTTGGCAGCCTCTTCTGTCTCAGAATGGATGGTTGGCAGCCCCTTCTGTCTCAGAATGGATGGTTGGCAGCCTCTTCTGTCTCAGAATGGATGGTTGGCAACCCCTTCTGTCTCAGAATGGATGGTTGGCAGCCTCTTCTGTCTCAGAATGGATGGTTGGCAGCCCCTTCTGTCTCAGAATGGATGGTTGGCAGCCCCTTCTGTCTCAGAACGGATGGTTGGCAGCCTCTTCTGTCTCAGAATGGATGGTTGGCAGCCCCTTCTGTCTCAGAATGGATGGTTGGCAGCCCCTTCTGTCTCAGAATGGATGGTTGGCAGCCCCTTCTGTCTCAGAAAGGATGGTTGGCAGCCCCTTCTGTCTCAGAATGGATGGTTGGCAGCCTCTTCTGTCTCAGAATGGATGGTTGGCAGCCCCTTCTGTCTCAGAATGGATGGTTGGCAGCCTCTTCTGTCTCAGAATGGATGGTTGGCAGCCTCTTCTGTCTCAGAATGGATGGTTGGCAGCCTCTTCTGTCTCAGAATGGATGGTTGGCAGAATCTTCTGTCTCAGAATGGATGGTTGGCAGCCCCTTCTGTCTCAGAATGGATGGTTGGCAGCATCTTCTGTCTCAGAATGGATGGTTGGCAGCCCCTTCTGTCTCAGAATGGATGGTTGGCAGCCCCTTCTGTCTCAGAATGGATGGTTGGCAGCCCCTTCTGTCTCAGAATGGATGGTGGCAGCCCCTTCTGTCTCAGAATGGATGGTTGGCAGCCCCTTCTGTCTCAGAATGGATGGTGGCAGCCCCTTCTGTCTCAGAATGGATGGTTGGCAGCCCCTTCTGCCTCAGAAAGGATGGTGGCAGCCTCTTCTGTCTCAGAATGGATGGTTGGCAGCCTCTTCGGTCTCAGAATGGATGGTTGGCAGCCCCTTCTGTCTCAGAATAGATGGTTGGCAGCCCCTTCTGTCTCAGAATGGATGGTTGGCAGCCCCTTCTGTCTCAGAATGGATGGTTGGCAGCCCCTTCTGTCTCAGAATGGATGGTGGCAGCCCCTTCTGTCTCAGAATGGATGGTTGGTAGCCCCTTCTGCCTCAGAAAGGATGGTGGCAGCCTCTTCTGTCTCAGAATGGATGGTTGGCAGCCTCTTCTGTCTCAGAATGGATGGTTGGCCGCCCCTTCTGTCTCAGAATGGATGGTTGGCAGCCCCTTCTGTCTCAGAATGGATGGTTGGCAGCCCCTTCTGTCTCAGAATGGATGGTGGCAGCCCCTTCTGTCTCGGAATGGATGGTGGCAGCCTCTTCGGTCCCAGAATGGATGGTTGGCAGCCTCTTCGGTCCGAGAATGGATGGTTGGCAGCCTCTTCGGTCTCAGAATGGATGGTTGGCAGCCCCTTCTGTCTCAGAATGGATGGTTGGCAGCCCCTTCTGTCTCAGAATGGATGGTTGGCAGCCTCTTCTGTCTCAGAATGAATGGTTGGCAGCCTCTTCGGTCTCAGAATGAATGGTGGCAGCCTCTTCTGTCTCAGAATGGATGGTTGGCAGCCTCTTCTGTCTCAGAATGGATGGTTGGCAGCCTCTTCTGTCTCAGAATGGATGGTTGGCAGCCTTTTCTGTCTCAGAATGGATGGTTGGCAGCCCCTTCTGTCTCAGAATGGATGGTGGCAGCCTCTTCTGTCTCAGAATGGATGGTTGGCAGCCTCTTCTGTCTCAGAATGGATGGTTGGCAGCCCCTTCTGTCTCAGAATGGATGGTTGGCAGCCTCTTTTGTCTCAGAATGAATGGTTGGCAGCCTCTTCGGTCTCAGAATGGATGGTTG